GGGCAAGTACTAGGGAGGGTATCCCACCGGGGGCAAGGGGACAGGAGCTGCTCCTGGGACTACTGCTACACTGTTGCCATGTCCCGAGCACCAGGATGCAAGCATGACCTCTGTGCATATGCATTTCTCCTGGCCCCGCTGTTTTTCTCTGCCAGAAGCTCATGTCCCCTCTGCCAAGGCCAGCGTGCCACCCCTCACCTGCCCGTAGCCTTGTGCCTTCTCGGTAGCATTTCTGGGCAGTGCCCTGGGGGTCTCCATCGCCATTCTTCCTCCATCCCGTAGCAGAGATGATTGGGGCACAGAGCTGTTAGCGCTACTCAGGGGTGTGCTGTGGGTGTGGGATTTGTTTGGTTTGGCTTTTTTTTTTTTTCTTTCATTCTTTCTTTCCAGGAAGCACTTAATGTTCTTGTGTTTCTGTCTCTTTGCCACTGGAGGTTTGGCAAAGATGCCAACCAAGAGTAGTTCATGCCAGACAGGACAAAATGTTTTGAAACCCCTTCAGACCGAGGCTGAACTGGCAGTGCTTTGTAGCCAATGTCTTTCCAGGTCCATGATGGATCCTGGTATGTGTGGACAGCAGCACCTGGCACGCAGGCTGCAGCCATCCTGGGAGGCGGCATTGGTGCTGTGAAACAGGCTCTTGTATCTTGGGAATTAACCTCAGCACTCTGGAGGCTTGAAGGCCTGGGACACAAGGAGAAAGGTCTCCCTGGCCTGAGCCCCAGGTGTGGGTGAGGTTGGGTCCTTTCAAGAGGACGTGTGCTCCCAGATGTTTGCCTTTTCTGTGTGCATTACAGCCGTGAAAAAAGCTGGAGAGATGGAGTGTAGGATGACCAATGGAGGTGATGCTGGTCAAAAGGAGCTTAAAGTTCTTCCCTGCTAACAGAGGCAGAGGATCGCACCTGTCTCTTGTATGTGAGCACTGGTGGGGCTTGCCTGTGGGATTCTGTATGACTCTACACATGGTCTGCATCTGACCTTGCTGAGGCTCCAAGGGAGCAGAGAGGCTACCTGTGCAGGTCTTTGGGGATGAGGTGCGCTCTCTGTGGGGTACTGCCAGTTACTAGGAGTGGAAAGAAGCAAAGACAAAACTAGGGAAGGATAGAAAGAGGGGCTGCTGTCCTGGCTTTCTCCTGAGCACCTGCATCTGACACAGCGCTTCTAACCACTGCTGCATGCTGTCAAGGAGGAGGAGGTGGCAGCAGCTGCTCCGTGTGATGGTGCCTCTGAGCTGTTTGTGAGGTCACTTCTCTTTAAGCATTTTTTCCCCCAGACCTTTGCCTGCTGCTGCCACCAGCACTTGGACTTGGCAATTCCTTCTCTTCACACCCCATGCAACAAAGCCTGGATATTCTTCACCTGAAAATACAAAAAATTGTGTGACAGTGTTTCTCTGAACTGGCTGCTCAGAAGTGCCAGGGCCACACAGTGACTTTTAAAAGCCTCCAAACTTTCCCCATGGCTGTGCTCCCCTCTGCTTGCCTGGGCCTGTGCCACATGTGTCCTGTGCAGGGAGGTGTCTGTACTTTAACCTCACAAGTGAAGGTGTGCAGGGTCAAGGCAATAAAATGTTGGGCTAGACGGGAAGGATAGAGCTAGAGGTAGTGTTTCCAGGTATCTAGGCTGGAGCCTCTGTCCAAGCAGCTCTGGACTCTGGCGATTGCCCAGCAGAGCTGACCTCACTCTGGGCAGGTGTGTTTGTGTGCCAGAGAGAGCAGCGCACAGCTACAAGGCTTTATGTATGCTTGGCAGTTGCAGTTCGATGCAGCTCCCCTCTCTACCAGCACCTTCTCCCCTTGCACTGTCTGCTGGTGCCCTGAAATCAGCTGCAGGCCTGCCAAGTTGTTGATGTTGCTGGATGTATTTGCAGGTGCTGATCCTTGATGCAGACAGTTGATCCCTGCCTGATTTAATGATCTGTGACCTGTGCACGTTCAGGGGTGCAGGGCCGTATCCTGCTCCCAGCGCAGAGCTTGCCTCGTGTTGCAGGCTTAGGCCCAGCTCCAGGGGCACCCACACCCTGGGAAGGGAAGAGCAGCAGCAGGGTGCAACGGTGTTTTAATGAGTTGCTGAATGGGAGTAGTAAATGTCCTGCTCCTCCTAGCACGTGGTGCAGCACTGTGGTGCCACTCGCAGCAAGAGGTGCCAGGTCACCTGCTGCATATTTTCCATCTTGATAAGTGTGTTATGAATGTGTCTGGCACGTGGCTCTGAGCCAGGGGGGCGAAGGCAGGAGTGCTGCTTGCTGGGGGTTATATGCTGGTAGTTGTCGTGGAGGCTGCTTCAGTGTGCAAATAAGGGAGGTGCACAGTGGCAGCTGAGAGCATCTCGTGCTTGGTCCTGAGGTAACCTTTCCTCCCCTGCATTGGGAGAGCGGTGGTGGGTCTGCTTTTGATGGTGTCTGCTCCTGCACCCTGTGCCCTCATGCAGTCAGGGCAAGCATGGGTTGATGGCTCCTTGGAAGACCCTTCCTAGAATGTGATTGTGTTTGTTCTCCAGGGGATAAAGCCCGTGTCCTTCAGTTTGCTGCATCCAGCCTGGCTTGTGCTTCTTGTCATGCCAGCGGGCTTTTCCCACCTCTCCAAGCAGTGCAGCCACTCCAGCAAAATTTGCAAAAACTCTTTCCATGGAGTGCCCCAGCCAAGGTGAGGCGAGTGTATGAGAGCTCTGCCCTTGGGTTGTATGCAGGGTACTCAGTTACGGTGGTACCTGAAGGTGCCATCCCCACTCTGATGCCATGGTGGCTAAACCTTCTTTTGCCAATTGCTGCCTATTTGATCCTGGGTGGTGTGTCCTCCATACCAGCCTTCTCATGGAAAAGAGTGTCGTGGGATGGATATGAGCCTGTGTGGAGGGGAGCAGTGATCCTCTTGGTGCAAGGTATACAGAGAGCCTATGACCCTGATGAGGTGTGGGACGACTCAGCTAGGGATGAGGATTGTAGTGCCCAGCTCAGCAACTTTCTGGTGGAAATAGGCCTTCTTTACCAAAGAGGGTTTGCACAGCAGCTGTATCTCTTTCTGGCAGATGCTCCTCTGTGATCCTGGCAGAATGAACTGTGCCAGAGAGGCTGCAGTCCACCCTGGTGTGGAGTGAGAGATGTGGAGCAGGATGAAGCTCGTCCCTCTGCTAGGAGCTCTGTACAATCCCAGTGCAGGCTGGCAAGTGCAGAAGTGCTGCATTGGTGTCAAAATTCAGGTTTCTTATAAGCCTTGCTCATGCCTGGCTGCTTCTGCGTTTCCCTCTGCTAACCAGAAGGTAGGCAGAACAGAGGATGCTCCTTGGCATGGGGCAGTTAGGGTCAGTGGAGGTATGGTGACATCCACATTAAGCAGTTGACCCTGCCTGGCACGCAGCACCAAGAATCACCTCTCCCCTTGCACAGCGAGGTGCTGGCTCTCAAACGCAGCCTGTAGTGCATTTCTTAGCAGTGCGTAATTCCTGCTACCCCTGTGTGCTGGAGTTCTGCAGGCCTACCCAGTCCCTTGCACTGCAGGGGCTCCGCTCTGCAGCCAGCGCTTGCCTCTGCTGCTGAGCAGCTGTGCTCCAGCTCATAAAAAAAAAACCAACCCCAAACCACATCTAAACTGCTGGGTTGTGGAGAAGGCTTTCTAGGCAAGTCTTACAGCAGAGACGAGACTGGTCCCCTCTCACGGGGGTGTAACTTGGGTCTTCCCAGGAAACAAAATCTAGGGTACCAGATGAGAACTGCTAATGTGGGCCGTGATGCTGCCAGCAGCTTCCCTTGTGCCAAAGTAGTTCACTGCCCAGCAAAGCTTCCCCAATCAGCCCAAGATAAGCAGAGCCAATGCCTCCACCCTCTGCTTGCCAGCTTGACCTTTACACTGGGCTGAAGTTCAGGCTGGTGGCATGGCAGGTGACAGGGTGGCAGCTGTTCCCACGCAGCTGCCTAGCAGGGAGGTGACAGCGGCTTCTGGAGGGTCACCTGGCTCCTCCTGTGGATCTCTGATGCTAAGATGTAAGAATGAAAGGTGAATTCCTCCTCACCACTCCCTTTCCATGAGTGGGGTTCGTGCTTTGCCTTCCCTTTCCCCATGCCTGCTGGGGAGAGGGGCTCTGATGCTGGTAGAGTGGGAAGTGGGGACCCCAATGGCTGCAGCTGTTCCTTGCTGCTCCAACCAGTCACCTGGAGGGCTTCTCTTTCTCTGCATACTTTGAACTGCTCTGTAGGTCAGCATCTTGCTGAGCCCTGCCCAGCCATTCCTTTGCTGCTCAGTAGTGGTGGAGGCCTCAGCAGCCATTGCCTGAGCTGCCTTTGTGCAGATTTGGATGGGTTTGGAAGCAGCTAGTGCCCTGTTTGCTCCAGATGCCTTGCCTGGACCCCCAGAGGGTACTGCAGCCTCTTCAGCTTTGTCCTCCCTCATGTGTGGGGACAGACAGGCTCATGGGCGAAGATGCCCCACAGGCAGGCTATCATTGCCTGTCTTGGTGCTTACCAGTTGCACCCTGCTTGGTGTGTGTGGGGGGGTGGCTCGAGGGCAGCTCCTGCCTACACTGACCACCTCTCTCCCTGCAGAGTACAGCCGCTTCGAGTCAAAGATCCATGACCTGAGAGAACAGATGATGAACAGCAGCATGAGCTCTGGCTCTGGTTCACTCCGGACAAGTGAGAAGAGATCTCTCTATGTCCGGTAAGGCACAGCCCCCACTGCCTACCCCCAGCCTGCCCCCTTGCTCCCCGCAGCTGAAGGCAGCTGGGATGGGTATATCCCCACAGTGAGACGTGCAAGGTGGGGTGGTTCAGCCTGGGCCGTGCAGTGCCTCTGTAGATGAGTGTTTCAGAGGCCAGGGGAGAAAGTGTGATAGATGCTTGATGGTGTTCAGAGGGTGCAGCAGGGAGAGCGGTCCTTTTGCACCGATTTGGCAGGTCTGGGTGCTCTGTGCTCAAGTACCTCTTCCGAGGACTGCTCTGCTTTGGAAAGTGCTGGTGTCTCTACAGAGCCCTGGGCAGCTGCCTGCCAGACCTAGTCACTGGGGACCACTGGTAAATGCTGGGCATCCAGAGCTGCTTCTGCCCTGGGCAGCTCAGTGGCTCCCTGAGCCACTCCCTGCTAAGTGTTTTCTCCCTGTCTCTTCCCACCATTGCTGCAGCAGGATCTGACTGGACCGGGAGATGAGCTCTTAGGAAGATTATTGCCCTGAGCCCTCCATGTGGTTTTGATCTGGAGCCAGACACAGGGCAGGCAGGGGTTAAGCAGCCATGCAGCTCTAACTGTTGCAAGTCCCAAGTGGCCAGGGCAGCACCTGCTTGCTGCCTGCCTTCTGCCACCTGCCTGCCACAGCGTGAGTGGGGTGACAGCTAATGAGTAATTTTAACTTGGTAGTTAAAATAATCCTGTTAAAATAATCCTGTGAATCCTTGCTCTGCACAGCCTGCTTTGGGTGGGGGCTGGCAGGAGCAGGGGATGCTTCTCCTTCCCCCTGCGTCAGCCTAGGTCTGCAATTCTCACTGCATGGCTGCTCCATGCAGAGGAGTTTCAGGCTGTTGCTGGACCTAGTGCAAGCCTGACCTGGTAACCAGGACAAGCTGCAGCTTTGCGTCTGTGCCTTCCTGTGAGGCTCTGCTTGATTTAGCACCTTCCTTGATTTAGCACCTTGGGGCTCTCTGCTGGGGGTGTTTGGCAAGCTGGGTGCTGTGTTGAATAAACATCTTGGTAGTTCTGCCCTCACTCCGCTGCTGTCCCATGATCACCCCCATGGGTGAAGCAGAGTATAGACTGGGTCCAGCTTGAGTTGAGTTGTGAGTCTCCTGTTCCCTGTTGCACTTAACAGGGCATGCCTGCGAGTCAGAGAGCTCCCTGCTGTCTCTGGGCTGCTTGTAGCATCTTGCATCTCTTGGTGCCTCTCTGCATGTGGCTTTGGCCTCCACAGCACTGTGTTCCCTCACATATATGCAGGTGGCTTCAGACAGGAGCTTGGCAGTGCCTTGCTGAGAGGATAATCTGAGGCGAGAGCTTCCCCCCAGCATGGCCCTTCACAGCCCTCCCTGGCTTTGGTGGCCATGCACCTGGCAAACATGCCTGTGAGAGCTGCCGGGTGCCCAGGCTTCCCTGGCCCTTCTAGGCAGGGTAGTTTCAAGCACAGTTTACGCAAAACTGGCCGAGCTGCTACACTGTGGACAGGACCAGTGCTGTTGATGGCACTGGACCCAGCCACCCAAGTGCCTGCTGGAGGTGATTTGGGGGTGCCAGCACATGCCATATGTTTCAGAGCTGCAGTTGTACAGCACGGACAGGGTGAGGCAGGTTTGTGCACTGCTTGCCACCTGCCTGTGCTGTCACAGGGCAAAGTCCGCTGACACTGGGGCTGTGCTGGTGTGGGGATGGGGTTCAGGCAGGCTTTGGGCCTGAGCACAAGGAAGAGGCCATGCCAAGTCCCTGGCACTGCTCCTCTGCCTTCCAGCCAAACCATCTGCTCTCCTGGCTGCTCCTGCTGTGTGCCAGCATTCGGACAGAGTGGAGCGAATGTGTTGCCATCCGGCCTACACACTGTGTGCCTGAGGGAGCCCCCAGCCATGGTGGATCCAGGGTGCCATCACAGCCCGGGGCTGGTCTCTGGGAGCATTTCACCTTGGGGGAGCAAATGCCTCATGACTCTGCTTTGCAGGCATTCCAACCTTCCAATAATCTTGCTGTGCCTGCTGCAGGAGGAGGCAGGGTCCCATGGGGCCAAAGCCACTCTGCATAGAAGGGAGCAGGCTCTGGGCAGGGCACACAGCAGCCTGCCTCAGTTCAGGAAGCAGCACAACCGTTTCCCTGAAGCCTTGGCTTATGCTTTATTCCTGATGGCGCTGGTCTCTCAGAGGCCTGCCAGCCACACACAGCCTTATCTTCTGGCCAGGAGCTGCCTGCAAGGGTTGCTTACCTCCAGCCAAAGCACCCTGTGGCACTTTGCTGGCAGCTTCAGTGTGCTGGAGGCTGTGCTTGGCTGCAGTGGAACTGAGCACGAGAGCTGCCCCAGCCCTGAGCAAGCAGGAAAAGGGGGAGAGACCCGGTGGGTGGATGTGTAGGGCTGCATTGGGTCTTGTCCTAAAGAGCCCTCCCTAAGCCCTGGGGCAGCCTGTCTTCTCTTCTTCCCTGTTTGAGACTAGCTCCCTTGACCCAGTCCCAAGTGACCTGAAAGTTTTTATTGTCCAGCACTCTCCTGCCAGTGCTGGAACAGTGCTGAAGAAGTGCCCTCCCAGATCTGCTGCTCTGTGGGGACCTGCCACATGGTCTGTTGGCCCTCTCATCTGCACCGTGTGCTTTCACACTCCTTTAGGAGACGCCCTAAGTTGAAGGGGGTAATGAGCAAGGCCGAGGGTGTGTCTCCTGGATGAGGAAGACTCATTAGTGCTAGGTTTAAACAAGCATCCAGACAGTGTTTGCAGTGCTTGGACTGGCTTCAGGCTGGGGGGCAAGAAGGGCTGATGTCCCAAGGGTGAACACAAGTGTTGTGCTGCTGGCGGTCATGCTTTTAGTGACTGTTCCTTGATTTGGTTTGTTGCAAAGTGGATATATGAAAGCAGACATGAATTGAGGTCTGAAATTAGTGGACTGAGTTGCATGTGAAGCTACCAAGAGCAGCTTGTGGGTCTGGGTTGCAGCGCTGTATGTGATAAAGCATGCACGGGAGGGATGTTAGTGCTCCTCTAGTTTAAAAAATAAAAAAAAAATCTTTTCTGTAGCTGGTTGGTTTAATATTAAAGATAACTTTGAACTAAATAAACTGTTCTCAGGCAATAATTATGAGGATCAGTTGTAGAAGTAGATATATATGTACCCTCAAATGTGTTCCTAATTCACAGACTCTGGACTGATGTACCCTTGTACATAAAAAAAGTGCATATTCAAAGTGCCCCATGGTCTGTGCACGTGTGACCACCCACCAGTAGTGGGGTCTAACATTCCCTATCCTGCTTTTTGGAGGGATGCTGCTGTTTGCTTGACGCCACCTGTGAGCTTCTTCTGCTCACTAACCACAACTGTCTTCAGTGTGTTTGTGGTTTGCCTGCTTCTCACAGCTAAGGTCAAGAGCAAGTTGGTTTGGTCCAGCACTCTTATTGCTACATTGCATGCTTTGGGGCTTGTGCTGAGCTCACCAGCAGGAGCGGGGTGCTGGTGGCTGCACAGCACCACTTGCCTTGGCAGGAGGCTTCCCCAATGTTTGGGTTTAAACCCTGTAAGGTATGAAGTTGGCAGTGCCCCAGGAGGTTGGCAGTGCTGCTGCCCTCCCTGCATGACTGTGCTCGGGGAAGACATCGCTTCTCTTTCTGTTCCTCTGCAGAGCCCTATTTGACTATGACCGCACTCGAGACAGTTGCTTGCCCAGCCAGGGGCTCAGCTTCTCCTACGGGGACATTCTGCATGTCATTAATGCCTCTGACGATGAGTGGTGGCAAGCCAGGCTTGTCACGCCCCATGGCGAGAGTGAGCAGATTGGGGTCATTCCCAGCAAGAAAAGGTGAGTGTCTGTCAGCAGGAGCTGTCAGGTGTGGTGCTCCCCAGCCTCTGTGAGCCCTGCAGCCCTTGGGATCTGTTTAGTTTGGGATCTTCCTGTGGTGCTAGTCCACCTGCTTCCCCCATGGCTGGGCAGCATGAAGGGCACCCCAGTTGCAAGCTGGGGCTGCGTACAGTTCTCCCTAAGGAGATGTTCTGCAAAGCTGGGTGAGACAGGTGTCACCAGTGCTCAGCCTCCCTCTGCGGTCCACATCGGGATGGAGAGCTGGTGTTAGCCAGTCTGGGGCTCTAAGGGGGAACGGAATCATAGGAGTGACTGCAGGCTACTCCTTATGTCATCTGACAACCTGCCCAACTCTGTGAACAGGTCCCATGAAGTGGGAAGTTGGAGGGAACAGAGGACCTGGCTACCACTGCCTTCAGGTCTGCAGAGCCAACCCATCTCTGCCGACCATCCCTCCCCTCCCAGGAAGGCTGGCTTGCTCCCTCTCCTGCAGGCCCTGGCCTTGGCCAGACCCTGGGCAGGCGGCACCACTGCTATTCCTCTCTGGGAAGGAGCTGCCCTTCATGAACAGGGCGGCCATCTGACAATGCACAGAGCCCCCTGAGGAGCCATACAGGTGACATGAAGGATGCGTGCATGTGCCTAGCAGCTCTTTCTCCCCTTTAACTTTTGATCAGGGTGGAAAAGAAGGAGAGAGCACGGTTGAAAACAGTGAAGTTCCACGCTAGGACTGGCATGATCGAGTCCAACAGGGTAAGTGCTGAGCAGGGCCTCAGTGGGGTACCTATTGCTGGTAGCTAGCAGGGGCAGGATGAGTCCCAGCAGCCAGAGCATCCAGTGGGACTACTGGACCAGTCCTAAGGCAAAGAGCAGTACAACTGCACCTGCCTCAGGCCCACATCTGCTTGGCACAAATCTGTGACTGTGCAGGGGGTGAGCAAAGGAGCCTGGGATGGTGTGAAAGAGCAGCAGAGCCTGTCCCACCACAGGCTGTTACTGGCAGCTGACTGCAGGAAGCTCATGCAGGTGAAGGTAGCTGCCCTCACCCCTCGTGCAGAGCTCTTACTGAGCAGACTAGGAAGGGAGAACAACCTGGCTACCCCTGCAGAGCTGCTGATTGCCCTATCAACTTCCCACATTTTTCTCCATGCTTAATTTTTTTCTGCATTACAGTTTTCATGTAATCTTCATGATTTCATTTGAGGGTAACTGCCCTGACACAGCTCCTCATTGTCTCTTCATTTTAATTTTTCCCACATGCGTTAAACACCATTGTTTTTTCTGTCCTCCCTTCCATCTTCATGTTCTTCAGTCGATCAAAACGAAACGTAAAAAGAGTTTTCGCCTCTCTCGAAAGTTTCCATTTTACAAGAGCAAAGAGAACCTGGCCCAGGAGAGCAGCGGACAGGAACGTAAGTAGCAGCCAGAGAGGACAAGCGTGTGACCCTCAGATCCCCTTCCATGGGGGAAGAGATTCAGCACATTTCTGTAGCCAGCAGTTCTGGCATCTGCCCATGTTTTGGTCTGCGCTCTACAGTTGTGCTGGTAGCTAAGGAGAAACTGGAGCTTGAAACGAAAGCAATGACTGCAGGCTGGCACTCTTTCTCATGTTCAGTGTCTTCATCCTTTCATTCAACTTTACACCCACCTGTCCCACTGCTCTGCCTTCCCCTGCTCTCCCCGCTCTGCTGCAGGCTCTGCTCCCTTCTTCTGCCTGCCAAGCTACCTACTGAGGGCTGCTCCCCTCCAAGAAAGTGGCTGGTCACCTCCTGCAGAGCTGCTCCTGTCCCTGTTAGGGCTGAGGGGCTGGGGAGGTCCCAGCTGTGCTCCCCATCTCGCCTAGAAGTGACTCACAGCTATATATTTCTGCCTGAGAGCCCTTCCCAGGGGTTAAAGCCTGCCTGCTCTTCCTGGTGGAGGAGCTGCCCACCCGCAATCAAGCACATCTTTGGTAGCTGGCTGCAGATGTTAGGAGAACCCCAGTTCTGACCTGGCAGCACCCTGGGGCTCCCAGCGAAGGTTGCCCCAAATCGTGATGTGGGCAGCAGTGGAGCTGCTCACTAAACCCAGCCCTTCCTCTTTCCAGATACTAAACTGCATCCACTCCTTCGGCAAGCATCCAGACAGCTGCAATCCTCACACCTTGGGGAAAAAGAGGTGGGCAAGCCCCAGTGGCTGGCTGCTCCAGGGGCTGCCTGCAGCCCTGTGCTGCCTGTGCCAGGCTGGTGCTGAGTTTCAGTGAGATTAGCAGCCAGCAAAGCCTCTGGTCTGTCATCTTTGTGTCTGAGGATCTCTTGTAGTCAATGGGCATGGCTGATCTCCAGTCAGCTCTGTGCTGGAGCTAGAGGCTCGCTGGGGTGTTGCTCTTGGCCAGCCCTGTGATGCAGTGGTGTACAGCGTGGGGATGGCGTAAGCAATGCACTTCACCAGCCCATGTCACAGACCCATAGCCAGCTACCTCTCCATGCAAGTGCTGGAATGTGGGCAACTTGTGCACGTGTGGAAAAATGTGCCCCCCTGCCACACGTTAGAAGACCGGCCATGCTGTGTCTGCCCCCGGGTGGCCAGGCTGCTCCAGGGTAGTGCAGAGCCTCTGTCCTGCCAGTACACCCCACGAGGCATCACAGAGAAACACCTTGGCCCCACTTGGCAGAAGCTCGAGGCTGCAACTGCTCGCTGCAAGCAGGTGCTGCTGTGGCAAACCTGCCCTCCCTAGATGCAAGGTGGCCCTTGGGGGCTCTTTGGCAGAGAGGATGAGCTCGGCGGGGGGGTCCAGGTGCACAAGGTGAAACTGGTAGTGGGCTGATGGCACCAGCTCTGAAAACATTTAACTTCACTTGCAGTTGCAATTCTGGGCTGTTCTGCACTCCTGTCACTAATGCTCATCTGGCTCTGTTTCCCCTATCCCTCTGACTGCCCTCTCCCATGCTGTCTTCTCTCCCCTTCTCCCCCTTCGTGCTGTCTGTGAAATTAGGACTTCCCTGGGTTAAGTGACGATTATTATGGAGCAAAGAACCTGAGTAAGTCGGATTTTGATGTGCATCATTCACTTTCTGTCGCTGGCATGCCTGGTGGTGCCTGGGGAACGGCCGGGCTCTGGCCAGGGCAGCTGCGCTTCTCTGGGTGTGGGGAAGGAGGAGGCCTGCAGGCACTGCTCCTCTGCTGGGGAACACTGTGGCAGCCAGCAGAGGCTGCTGGGCTTGAGGAGGTGCTGCTGCTGGCTGCACGTGTGAGGGAGTGGGGGAGTTTGCTTGGGGATGTTGGCTGTGCCCTCAGCACACCTGGCTGAGAGCTGGCTGCTGACTTAGCACTTGGAAAATCAGAGCCGCTGCCTGATGAGTCTGCTCTGACTGGGGTAGGTTACAGTATTTTGAAGTGTTGCCACCTTCCTCTGGGGCACCATATACTCAGAACTGCAAAACAGTGATGATGGGAGCTCCTTGGCCTTCCCAGCTGTTTTCCCTGTCGAGCTCTGCATCCACTCTGACCAGTGCAGAGCCTGACGAGGGGCAGGCAGCAGCCAGCAAGCCTCTGTGGGGTGATCGCAGCACTGGGAGCAGCCTGAGCAAGCGAAGTCCCAAACTCTGTCCCATCCTGTCACTGTCTTGTGTCTGCGAGTCCCAGCCCTGTCCCCAGAGGTAGGCTTCCCCCATCCTCCTGCCAGCATGGAGCTGTGCCCTCCCGTGCCCATCATGCGCATGCTGCATCTGCTGTGCCTGCCAGCACCCTCCTCCCTATGCACTCTACCTTCCCACATCCTGGGAAGCCCAGTGCCTGCACACTGCCTACGCCTGCCAGGCAGCCCCCTCCTGGCCTGCCTGCCTTCTCCCAGAGTAGCCAGGCGTTCCCCTGCATGTCCCCAGTTTCCCAGGAAAGGGCGAGAGATGCCGCCCTGCCTACGTGGCACAGACTCATCCCAGTAGATGCTGAGGTGCCGTTTTTTCAGCAGACTAGTGCTGCCCTGTCCTAGGCCAGTAGTGCTAGGTGACAGCTAGGGTGCCCCCATGCCTTCCACCCGTGTTTCTTCTGAAGGGGTTCTCTCTGGTTGCTTTGCAGAGGGCGTGACATCAAACACCAGTGACAGCGAGAGCAGTTCCAGTAAGTGTGCATCTCGCTTGCTCTCCTGCCCCTGTGCGTGCGTGTGTGTGTGCACCCCTTGGCACTTCCATCTTGTCTTGTCCTGGAGGTGGTTCTGTTCAGAGGCTGGTCCTTCCTGCTGGTGACACTGAGGTGCTGTGGCAAGCTCCTTCCTTGGGGCCAGGGAGAGCATGGGTTGGGGGGCAGGAGTGAACCTGCATGCTTACTTACTGCAGGCTCTCTTCTGGCTGCAGGGGTCTGGTCCAAGGCTGGGTGGTAGGTTCCTAGTCAATGGTGGTCCCCCATCTTCAGTACCACCTGCAGGAAGCAGTGGCCAGAGGCTGGGTCTACAGCATAGGCAACTCCTGGATCCCAAGCCTGTACAAGAACATGGGGGTCCAGCTGCAGCAAATTGTCCCTTTAGCCCCCTCTGGGTCCTTTAAATATCTGAAGCATGTCTGCCATCCTCCCCACTGGGAGGATAGTGCATCCCAGTGGACCCCAAGCCTGCAGTGATGGCGAGGGCAAGAGGAGGCTTGACCCAGAACTGGAACGTGAATAATTAACGTGGATCAAGGACTGGTAACTGCGTGCCTGACAAGCTCCATGTCAGCTGGGCAGCGTGATGGGGGCAGCCTGGAGGTGTCCCCAGGGCTCTGGGAAGCTACC